CTGAGTTATAGAATTCTATATCTGAAGTTACAATAATTTAGTTTTCGAAGTTCTCATCATTTGCTTATAACGCATAAAATTTTTTCAAATATATTTTGTAGGGAAAATTTTTGTAGTCTATCATTGAATTGCAGTTATATACAATATAATAAAAATGTTTAGATAATTCTTATGCTTAGCAATGAATCAGCAATTCAAAGAATCAGCAATGTACAAGTAGAAACAAAATGTACCCACACAAATTATGAGTTGTTTTTACAAGTCCACACATCAGTGCATTGGCATTGGCATTGTGCACAGATTCCACTAACATAAGAATTTGACATTTATGTAATTCCATGGCATATACATGGAAACCACCAATTACATTTTAAAATAGATGTAAAACAACTGTGAAGTATCACAATTGCTTTCTTTTGAGCAAGTGACAATCACATACTTATTTTAACAGGCACACCGACTTCCAATCCTTTACAAAAAAATCTCTATACAATGACAAAATCAAATGTTGTTAAAACATATCAGCTATTTCTGTATCATCAATTTAAATTGACAAAAAATTTTTTTCATAACTCATTGCCAATAATAACAGGTACTTGTAATTTTCTACAAACCATTTTCTGTGATAGCAGATCACATTATCACAACCACATTACAGTTACTCAAGGGAAGATTCTTGGATGAGGAGAAAGAGGAAGAGCAACTATTATATTTCAGGTTTAGGGGTCAATGGTGCAGATGGCATGAAGAATTTAAAATGTGATACTGTACATAAAAAATTTTGGTTATAGCAGCAAAGCAATCTTGGATTATGATATGGTGTGAGCATTAAAACAGTTTATATCATGAGACTTTTTATACATGTACAGACATGAGGTTGATTTTCTGTTACCTCAAATGGCTAGTTTGACAACAAAAGGAAAAGAAGAACTGTTTACAATATAAATTAATACTGCAAAAAAGTTCATTTAAAACCATGAGGCATGGGGTACCAATCTCAAAAGGCATAAAATGTATTAACAATATTGAGCAACTATCAAGTATGAAATGAATGAAGATAAATAATCCTCCAAAAGCCTTTATTGGACAATCTCAGATTTACCAACTACTAATGGTTACTTCCAAGCTGGTAGGGCATCGCAACTTTTTGCCCTGATTGATGTCGCCAGCCAGCCACAGTTCTGGACACCCCGCCGCCAGTGGAGATGTCCCCCACAGTCGCGGAGGAAATGTTTGGCCTTTTAATGCCAATTGGACCAGGTGGAAAGTAACCATTAATAATTGACTTTGGTCATGAAGGCCTTTGATTGCTGTATTTCTTCACTGTCTTATTTTGCTACGTAGTTTAGAGCACAGCATGAAACTAGAGAGCCAAACTAATGGTAGTACAACACCATATACCATACACCATATACTTTCTCATTATATTTGAAATTGTTATATTATATTGTAATATAAATAATAATAAAAATAATAATAATATAATAATAAAAATGCAGGACATTCGATTTAGCAATTTTTGAAATTTCAGGGATTTGAAAGAAAAACAATCTTGTACTGTATTCATTAGTTCATTTTGCTCTATTGAAATAACCAATTTCAAGAAAGAAAGGTTCCCATCCTGGGAAAGGAACCCCAGCCTTCACATTGGTAGGCCATGTCAAAGACCATGGCTTAAGGTGAGCCCACTTCCTTTTATTCGTACTAAAATTTGCATACAAACAGATATTTTTTCTCGCTAAAATAAGAGTGCAGAAAGGCCATTAAAAAATTTAAAAAACGCCATTTACAATGAATTGTTAAAAAAACTTATAATAATTAAAACGATTAAAATTTGTATTCTGTCTCTAAAATTTACATCGGCACTTGCATAGATGACAACAATCATTTCTTTGTAATCTTCATTGCACACAACCCCAACATTTTTTGCACACTTCGTCTATCTGAGATTATTTTTCAGTTTTACTACTGAAAATTATTTCTAGTGGAACACTAACTTTTTAGAATGGTGACCACAAATTTGTTTCAGTCATGATGTTGTCTCTACAAAATCTCATAGACTCTTTTGACTCCTAGAATCGCATCAGTGAAAACGCTATTATAGATTTCATTCTTTAAACTTGTTTAACCACCAGACCTGAGAAGTGTCATATTGTACATCGTGTTCAAAGAGATCTGCCCTCAAACATGATTGGAGGCCATACAGATAGAATGGGATTCCTTGCGTACAAAGTCTGCGAGTCTCAATAAAAAAAATCCAAAAATCAAGATGGGCATCATTTTGCTCACACCTTTTTTAACACTTTGTATACATGTTGTTTTATATTTTCTGGCCCTGGAGTCCAAGCTCAACATTATTTTCTGAAACAACTCCAGCACAGTTAAGAGATTCCTATTGGCAAAAAGTCTTCAAAACATAACAATATTAAAATATATGATTTGCCTACCTTTCAAGCTCCATTTATTAAAAAACCTACAAAGGAAAAGAAATATTTACTCTCAGATACATTTTAGATTTTGAGACTTGTTATGAGAGATAATTTGAAACTTATCCACAAACTTTATTACAAATACGCATTACTTTATAAAATATACAACCAAAAAAATATTAATACTTGAGGTATCTAAATATGTTTAAATTTTGAAAATTCACACATTATAATAAAAATGGCTCTTAAACTAAATAATTCAGTAAACTGTTCTCTATTGTTACTAAAAGTTTAAAGCAAAAAATTGAATATTTGCAGTTTTTGAAAATTCAGAGGTTTTAACAAAAAATGGATGTGTATTGTATTTATAAGCGCATTTTATTTTAGGCAAGCAAAACATTTGGATTAAAAATTCAGGGACAATTTTGAGAACATTTTAAAAAAGGCTCCAGATCACTATGCTCACATTCAACCACGCTCACAGAATTATAGACCGGCAATGTTTAGACATTTCAATTCATCAATTTAGTTTCTGCTAATCTTAAACTAAAACAAATATTAAAGTGTCTAATTCTATCCTGTAAGTAAACCTTAGTTTAGTATCCACTGAATCGCTCAAAAATGCTGACTGTCTTTGAAAATGTAAATTATGATGTGACCAGTTCATTCTGAAAAATAACTTGCCAGTCAAATTTCTTCAATAAAGTGAATGTAATACAGTTCACAGACCACCTTCCTACACCCTGGCCCGATACAGTTTATTCCAATTTGGCTCTCTGTTAACTTCTCTTTTCCCAATCTTCACATTTGAAGATACCGACTGTCATGACTTTTGAAGACATTGCCCTATGCCTCTTGGTCAGAGATAAAATTGACTCTTTTCAGACAACAAATGAGTGAACTTCACAGTTGGTAACCAAACACCAATTATGATATGTACAATATATAATAATTTCTACATATGATGTCCACCATGAAAGATTTTACAAATACTCTTCTGCTTTGGCTACTGTATTTTAAAAATAATGCAAATGCAAAAAATGCATAGATATCTTCGCATTCTCTAGAAAAATTGATATGCAACACACCACATTAACAGTAAGGCACATTCAAATATTATATTTAAGAACACAATGATAAAATATAATTAAAATGTTATAATATATAAATTTATGATATTTATTAACAAAACATCATTGCAAAGAACAATAAAAATTGTAAAAATTTCTTAAATTATTACAATTTTTCATGGTGATTTTGAACACCTGTTATAAATTAATTTAATGTAGGCTATAGATTTTCAACATATTATTGAACATCTCTTGTATGTTCTATATGACAGTTAAAAAGTAATTAATTATTTTTTCAAAAATGATATGGAAATTACATTTACACCAAAGCATATCTATGATTTTTACCTATAAATAACCAAAAACTGTTTTTTTTTGAATATATAATTCAATCACTTTAACAAACACTGGATATGCAGAACTTTGTCCCCACATTGTTCTGTTGAATTTTCTTCATAGAATTTATTACTTTATTCTTTTTAGTTGCTGTTATTCAGTCTTAAAAACTAACCTATTACTTTGAAAATTACTGAAATGAGGGTTTTTCCAGAAATAGATACAATCATCAAGATTGTAATAAAAAAATATGATAAGTAGATAAATTATTACATAAAATTAAGGAAATTTAAAGATAAACAAAAACTACATAGAATTGTTCATCAAAATGAAAAATAAAATTTCTTTCTTTTTTTTTTTAATTTTGTGCATATCATGCAATTCTAAATTAATAAATTGGTTTTGGTATTATATGCATATCCTTCATTTTGGGAGTTTTAGTTTACTGAACATTAGTATTTTCCATCTCATTTCTATCATCATGAAATTAAGTATTTAAAATTACTCTTAATGCAATTACATACAAGCACATAACAGATGAAAAATTATTTTTTACTGTACTAAAGCTAACATAGACATTAAAATGATCATTTCATCTCCCTTTATTTAAATAAAATCATCTTTGTTGATATTGCAAAATCATCATTATTATTTTGAATATTAAGATTTTTATTGATAAATAAATTTAATTGTTCCACAAAAACAAATCAAGAACTTTTACATCTGGAACCAAACTGACAATACTTCTGCTAGACTAGTGTTATAACAATAGAACTAACTCAAATCAACTACACTAGTTCTATGACATCAGCATATCAAAGAGTTAAAAAAGGAATACAAATTTTCTGAAAATTAGATTGAGATATTTATAATCAATTTTCACCTGAGGAAATAATGGTTATTAAAATATGAAACATTGTGATTTATGAAGTCAAATAATATGTGTACCATATAACTACATTGTATTCTTTTCAGAATCTGTGACATTCTCAACTTTAATATGATTTCCAATTATTCCAAATAAGTCAGTAAAATCAGTCTTTTATTGAAAACCTTGCTTTCTTTTGCAACCAAAACCAATGCCTTCTTTCATATTAGGCAAATATCAATTGGTAAGCTAACACTTGTATTAAAGTCAGTGATTCCATCTGGTTCCAGCACAGTTGGAAGTTGAACAGCTTTAAACTGGCATAGTTATTAATAAGGTTTAAAAAACGGTTGTCACATAGAAGGCTCGTTTCAATCAATTATTGAAATACAAATTTTGGAGCTGAAGTGAAACTATTTGGAGTCATCCTGATACTTTTTTACAAAATCTAAAGATTGTTTGAACTTTCTAAACCCAGTAAGAATGTTAGTAGACAGTCTCTTGACCTGAGATACAAAGAAACAAAATGATGGTAAGTAAGACATCCTTTTCTTTTGGATCAACTCAATATTGTTTCACTCTGCCTTCATTTGTTAAATTGTCAAAAGCTACAAATATAGGTGCTCTATATTCAATGCCAACGTTTCAATTGAACTTGTCATATTTGGAAATCACATAATTACATATTGATTAAAAAGTAGCAGAATTCACATGGAGGCTTTGTGCTTGAATGCCCCATGAATGTAGCCACTCAAGGAAAATGTATAAGCACACTAATCATGCTTGAGCAATCCTAATTAAACATTATGCAGTAGCAATTCTAAAATTTAACACATGAGAAATTATGTACATATTTTATTTCCATACAATTTTGCCCCTTGTGTCTTTTCTCAATACCTGGTATTACACTTCACAAAAAATTGCACATTTCATTGCTGCTAATTGTTGTTCATATTTACGACATTTCTCACCCTTATATCGTTCAATGTAAGTATGTAAGGTTTTCAAGATTCCAAAATGTGCTTGGTGCTTGCTAGGCATATTTGTAATTAAATAGAACCATTAACCATAAAATTCTGTAGACTATACATGAAATATGAGCAAAAAGGAGTCTAGCCCTACCAATTTATACCTAGTAATTTGGAAGAACTATTTAAAAGTATTCTGGCTCCTTCCAAAAACTGCAACTTATTTTGCTCAGACAACTCTTTTTAATTCAAAGTCCATAAGGAAATAAAAAATTCAAATTATCAAAAAATTTTCATGGAAATTTTATTAATTGATACTTAATTAGTTGATATTATAATAATTCTAATTAATATTTAACACAAAGTAGTAGGCTTTTGCATTATCTTCAGCACTTCAATATTTTTTCTCCAAACTTTAACTAATCTGGTAAACTAGAATGAGTTTTGACAGAAAAGCCAAAGATTATATGATCACATCCATCCCAGTAACAATAAAGCATTTTATATCTCTTCATTAACCCCAACTCGTATTTTTAAATAACTCTTGAATCGCTTAGTGTTTGAAACTAACTTTTACATGCTTTATAATGTTTCTTCTCAATTTGCAATATTTTGATATCAAGTTAACCCAATGTAGCATTTGAAGGTAGGAATTAATTATAAGTTTTTAACAGTTTAAAATAAAATATAAAATTAATATTAAAGGGACATATTTCTCTTCAAATTAGCCTATAATTTAAATACCCCCATGTCAAATTAAAGAGTCAACTGTACCACTTGTTCTGAAATGAAATATTTTATAATTCCCTTTTCTCTTTTATTGAAATATCTAAGCAAATATAGTATTCAGTCTGTATATCACAAAATCTCTTTAAATTCTGGTACAAAATTTTGAATAATGTAATAGTATTATATTCATAATATTGATAAACACATCAGATTTCTAAAACTTACTCCTTAAATTTGAAAGGACTAGATTTTTATAGCGTAACCTTAGGCAAAGATAAACACTTTTTCTTATAGCAAAGAAGAAAAAGTGCAAATTTCCAGTGATCTTGTTCAGATACTCTTATCTGTTCTGGCAGCAATTTAATTTGAGCACATTAACATATGTACTTTGTTTTGGTTTTAAAAATTGTGAAACATTTTTATAACAATATATGCCAGATTAAGAGACTATGGTCACTTTTTTGACAGTTTTTTTCAGCAATATGAGAATTACACACTATTTTTCTGTCAACACTTCTCAAATATGATTGCAATTACACATCTGGGTATAAACCCCATCATATACCTGAGAATAACTTTTCACAGCGGGCATGTGAGAATCCATGAGAAAAGTTCAGATAAGACCATTCATGCTGCTCTGTGTGGACAAATAAAACTTGATTCTTTTTTCCTTCTAACATCATATAAAAAAAAGATGTTTCTTTAAAAATATATATAATAATTCAACAAAATATTCTTAACAAATGTCTCAGTGTTGCTGAGTTGACATATGAATATAGTTTTAAAAGAACATTTCAAATATTCACAAATGCATAGAAAAAGATATGACTAAAACTGACAAAATGAAGTACTCAGTCACTACTTACTATCCAACATAGCACATCTTTAGAAAGATATAAGTAAAAATACAATACCTTTTTGCTTGAAAAAGTATCTCACAGGGCACACATTACCAGCCACTTTTTAAAACAAATGGTATTGGCTAGAATGACTCGTGAAGAATTAATTGGGGAACTTCTTCACCAAATACTGGTACATGTAGTCATACACTACAAGCATGATAGCTCCCCCTGGCCCTAGACGCATCACCTTCGGAACCAGTCCTTTGTAAAGTGCTCGCCAACTGGAACAGAATAATAAATAATAACAACAAGAACAACAACAATAATAATAATAATAATTATTATTATTATTATTATTACTATTATTATTATTATAATTTTATGAAGAATGACTTCAATTCATTTCTATTTCAATTCAATGTCACTCCTCATTGAGTTAGTGTTTGTACATCAAAACTGACAATCATCACTCGTAATATTTCATAATCATCATCATACATTAGACTGTAAACCTGTTCTGGAGAGATTTAACAATCTTTCTTTTACTCATTGTTTCATTTCACTATCACTTATTTCATATGTAGCTTACCTTGGAGTGTATGTACTGAACTACGATAATAATGTCGAAAAAATGATGAAATATATAAGATTTTTTACTTGATACTTTGAAACAGAAGTAAAACAGTCAGACACTTATCATATAATTACAGTATGAAAAAGAATATCATCATGAACTGACTAGAAATTAGGTTCTACAGCCTGTTTCTATTGGCTTATTACAGTATTCTTAGTAGATTATTAGTCTTTCAAATGTTCCTGCTGTTGCCACCTATTTAGTGGTAAAAGAATATCAAGAGTAAAAATAATTAATTAGATATATAATTAAAAGGGTACTTCATTACCAAGTAATGATACATGTTCTCAGTCACTTGTATGCAAAATTCAGCAGATGATTTTACTTCTTCACAAATTATTTAGATCAAAACAAGAACAATATACACTTTTTTAAACATCTTTTAGGTACAAAAATGTATCCGAATCAACAGATGATACCTCGGTATGTTTCCTTGCATGACAGGTAAATGGAACTAAAGAGTCAGTACAAAAAATACATTTTCTGCCTAAAAAAGAAAATAACTTCATCGTGAATAAGAAACTTCAAATACTGATAGACCACTTGCTTTCAAAACATTGGAATTGTAAGAATAAACAATTTAACCTACCCTTCTTCAATGTACACCAGTCTCATGGACTGCAAAGTACTAAAATACTTTCTTTGTCCTGATACTGGCTGTGGGCCCTGAATTCGACTTTTGGCGACATCAAAAGGGATGTTCATCATAGAAGCCAAAGTGCCTGATGTAAAACCGATGCCCACTTTCCGCAAAAATTCAGGTAGTGGTTCCTGTAAAAGTATATCCAACAGAAATAATTGAAGGATGGTAATAATAAAGAAAGAAAGAAATCACAAATATAAAACAATAACCATTACCAACATAACTCCGAAAACATGAAATTCTCAATCCCATCTTAATGCAAACAATACTATAAAAATCATCATTAGTTTCACAATGTATTTTAGAAAAAATACACATTACAATGGTAATAAACATAATAAATACTCAACACTGCAGTGTCTACGAATGCTTGTAAATGTAGAAACTAAAATATGATGACCATGTGTACAAAAGTTATTAAAAAGAGGAACTGAAACAAACTCAAACGCCATGCAGAGAAAATTTTCTAATAAAATTAATATAGTTGCCACTGTATATAATGTGTTGGCAACTCACCAATGCACACATGAAGACACAGTTGTTATTTTCATGAATTAACTCACATCCAAATAACTAAAAAGAAACTTGCCTCATATTCTGGTAACATCCCTTTCACGGAGTGGTAAAATCCAAAATAAAATGAATTGAAGACACCATTTCGAGCAATTGTGGCAGTAAGACCTTTATTAATGCCTCTAAAACCAAAGCCCTGAAATAGACAAATACAAATATCCTTATATTAGTCAATAAACAGGTAAATATATTAATTAATTAATTTTCATTCCAATTTCTCTCAATCCAAATGGTTTTAAAATGGCAGCTCCACTCAATCGTCATTTGCCAAGCAGCGAGCTACTATTCACCCAATCCCGAACAGCTGATGTGTTTGGCAAATTTTTGCTCCCTTTCATGAGTTCTAAAGACTGACACACGGTGGGTAGGATGAGCACTGAATGTCTGTCACTCTCAAAAAGCACACAACTCATTCACACCTCTCGGGATTCAGTGAGCAATTGATCGCTACTCACTGAATAACGAATGTGTGGAGCCACCTTAACAGCCTTGAACTTAACCCATTTCCAACCATTGTCACAAATAAAGAGATGCAAAAAGAAAAGGGAATATTTCAGTTCATCATCATCAGGTTTAAGCCTTTTGGCAAGTTCCTTTTAATTTTTCTACATCCCCTTCTTCACTTGCAAGGGGTTCCTGGTCTTCCCCGTATTTTCTTGAACTGGTTAAATTTCTTCTACTTCTTGGCTTGTATTTGAGTACTTTTTTGGAAAACAATACATCTTTTATTTCTTTATTCTTCTTACATATGCATTCTTACTACTTCTTTAGGCATTTCTCAATTTCTAAAACAATGTTCTTAGAGTTAATTTCTTTTAATCTCTTCATTTCTTATTTTATCTCTCCTTGATACTTCCAACATTGACCTACAATTATTCTGGCGGTACCAATTGTATCCCCCCCCTTTTTTTTATAGAATATTATGTAGTCTTTTCTTTTTTCCCATACTGATTTTTGGAAGTGTCATATCAAGCATCCATTTATTTCATTATATTTTGTTAATTTTCATTCCCTATCTTCTTCTGTTAGTGATATTTTATTCCCCTAATATGTAAACAAAGGAACTCGTTCTACATATTTCTGTAGATACAAAATTTTGATTTGTAAATTGTTACAGCAATGTTACAAAACTTTTTAAATATGATTCTTTGACTGGAATTTTTTACTTAATTATAATTTTTTTTTTTAATCAGAAAAGTTGGCAGACTTTAAATCTAATTTTGAAGTTGTTTTTTTGGTGTTGAGTATTTTTTTTTATGAATACTGTATAAAATTACTTTCAAAGATGGTGACAAAATTATAGGTGAATCACATCTTAAGAAGTATGCTAAAAAATTTAAAAAATTTATTGTAAAAAATTTATTGCTAACAAATTTATTGTAACTCATTCATAGGACTACAGACAAATATGGCTTATGTTCTTGCATTGTGTTGCTACATTTTATTTGTGTTTAATTCTTTTGTGATGTATTTTCATTCTCCTTCTCTCCTTTCCTCTCCTTCTCCTGCTGATCATTTTTTGCAATTTTAACCTCAGAATAATAATGAATTTATTTCTTACCCTTGTCCCAAATTTCCGAAATATTCCCATTGTCCTAAATTTTGCTTTTAAGAAAACAAATTTTGGAGACCTTCCTGCGCAAATGCCACAGGAAGCATAAACTAAATTGCAAAATTAAAAATATCATGCACATCACCATCGCACTTATTTTGGCAGGTAATAGGATAAACAATTTTTATAAAACTAGTATTTGAATTCCAGCTACATACATTACAATTGTTTATACAAGAATTATTTCAACTTAGACATAGTTTTATTTATTATAATGACCTACATTACTTTTATAACTGTAAATGTTATTGAAAAAATGAAGTTTTTTGAGAAAATAAATATATTTTTGGATACTTTTAGAAGACTTTCCTAAGTTGAACAAATGCTATTTGAATTCTGTCGAACTGTCAAATAATGCTTTTATCATTTAAAAGAATCAAGCAAGTGGTGAGCAGATTTTTAACAGAAAAAGCTGACATGAAGAACAATTGTAAAAAGAAAAAAATTAATAAAGAAGTGAATGAAAAATACCTCTGTCCTAATTATCTCTTTGGTGACAGTCCATGTACTTGGAGTTTGATGCATATGAGCTCGGTTAGATTGCAAAGTCACCTTCACAACCTCAAATGGATTCACAAGAACAGCTTCAAAAACACCAGCACACATTCCAGCCATTGAAAACGTCTGAATAAAACAAATAAATGTATGAAGTGAACTTACTTATACACATCTCAAGATAGTTAAACACGCATTGTTTTCTTCCACCTAAGTCCACCTTCATTTCAATATTATTTTCATTTTTTTCTCACATAATTGAACTAGTAAATCTTTATGCAGTTTAAAAGTAATGCTTTTAACTGACTTACAGTAAAAAATGTGTTTAAGGTAATTAAGAAATAAATATAGAATTATTAGAAGCTTGAAATTATTACAAATGTATTCTGTTACAAAATTATTTATTTAAGCTTTTTTTTTCTAAAAAAAATATTTATTTACTTATGATTTTAAATAATCTTACTCTTATTCTGTTAACGATATTCTAAGTCTTTACTTAGGCATTAAATGCAAAGAAATTCTCCTTTAACATATTCACAAGTCATTAAACATGGAGTAATTCTCCTTGAATATACTAATTTTGTCATAATGTCATTGCCTTTTATCCCTATCAATCAGGGGTTCAGCACCATTAGTATTCAGCGTCCCTAGTCAATAACCCGTCCAGAAACTCTCAGTGATTCAAGCTGTTTAATCTCCGTGACTTCACGGAGTGTGGTTAAGCAGTTCGGCTGTGGCTACTGATGCCTTTAATGTACCAGTAGCAAAAAATTGTTACAAAACAAATATCTACTTACTACTGCTGTAGGCGTAGGGGATCCAAACAAAAAGAAGCGCTTTGTTTGTTCAAAAGTAAGAAATTTTACTGCTCGTTTGGGTGTCTCCACCAGAATAGGGGGTAACACTCCCTTCCAGAATGAAAAAAATCCTTCATTCCTGTACATCTTGGATAGACAGTCAAAAACTCCTCTGTACTGGGCTTCTGAGAGTTTGACAGTGGAGATTCCCGGCATGGAGCCCTTTTTCGCGTGGGTGCTCTGGATCTGCAGCCTTGTTTTCACCAGGTCCAGAGGATGCATGATGCACACTTCAATGAAACCTGGAACAAGAGTCTGTGCAGCTTTTTGTTCCAGAAGTCTTTTCACATTCTGAACCCAAACTTTAAAATGGCTTGAACATGACCCTTCTTGACTGCAGCCATTTTACGTGTACAACTCTCAGCTATGTTTCCAAGATCAAAATACCCTATAGTACTCTTGGCAAAAATAGTTTGAATTTGTTTATTTTATTTATTTTTTATTTCCAGTAATAATTTGATCTTCAAAGCGTGACTGCACTATCAAAATGAATCAAAATGTATTAAATAGGAAATTTAAGGGATGATCCATCGGAAATGTTTGATGCATGTTAGTAAATTCATTTAATGTATTCTTCACAGTTTTCGAGATATTTGCAAAAGCCTCCAAGATTGAACACTTAAATTTTGTTTCAAAGCATTTAAAAGAGAGGTGGGGAGGTTTCTACAAAATCGCATGCAAACAGTAACTCACTGAATCTGAAGATTAAGAAAAAATTAAGTCTGAATGAACCTGTATATTTGTAATAAAAAAAAGATTGTTATGTAATAGAAAATAATGATCTGAAGAAAGAAGACTAAATATATGCCCAACAAAATACTTAGCGGACTTTTAGTGAAAATTCAATCAAAACCAGATTCCTGAGATGTTAGCCCACTCAAACAGACAGACAAAAATTGTAAAAATAATTGAATGGGTTTTCATATCATGCAAATTTATATTTGAGATCATGAAAAGGAAGTTATTTTAAAATCATAAATATACACTCCATTATATTCATGAAGATATTTGAATCACCAAACTTGTAATAAATTCATATTGATTTTAGAATGTAGTTGGGGTTTATAAATTGTAAAAATGTCACATTTTTGTTAAGATTTTAAAGAGGGTGTTAGTAAAGGTTACAAAAATTTAGTTGAAGTGTTAGTGAAGGTTACAAAAGTTTGGTGAAGGTTGAAGAAAACAATTTAGAGAACAAAGAATTTTTGTAGTGCCCAAAGGAAACTGAAAAATTTAATGGGGGTGAGGATCACAATTTCAGAAGTACTTTGTAATATTAGTTCACAGCATTAAAAGTTGAAAACAATGATAAAAGGCAACAAAGAATACTATTTATGAAAATTTCACTGTTATTACTGTGAAATAAAGACTACTCATTTCTATAGAAAAATATTTTACGACTAGGGAGCAGATTTATATGATTTTGCATACTTTTGTCTGTTTCTTCACTGCATAGCAAAGTGAATTTTTTTGACATGTAGTTAGAATATGATGCCATATATTTACATGCCACATGTTAGTGCATATTTGGCCGACTTTCCCTGTTGGTGCATATTTGTGTAATTATCTTACCTATAAAATGTTTCATCTTTTCATAAGTCAATTTAATTGTGAGAATTATTGATTTAAAAGAGCTTGTCACAATTTGCCTTTTTTTCTATAAGATATAAAATACTTGTGCAAATATAGGATATTTCTCGATATCATATTTTTTAAACCAGGCCGAAGAAATGAAAGAAGACATACAATGTACTTCAGTATGGAGCATACTTACTTTAATTATTTCTCCAAGAAGTAAGCTAGGTTATATTATAGACATACAAAACTATATCTTTTCATTCCAAGTATGCTTCTCCTAAATTTTATCAAAAAAGCTTCACACAGGAAAAGAAATTAATTGCATTTTCCAGTGCATATTTCATTATTTTCAGGTCATAAATGCATGTTTTAAAAAGCATATTTCAAGATTTTTTAGGGCATAAAAATCCTCTCCCTATTTATAACTAATGCCCAGATTAAATTAATTAAGGATGTCATATATAATATTATATATAATATATATTGTATTAAAACAAGTACTTGAATTAACATTTCAATAAAGGAACACTGTCTTCAATTCTAGTACTTTAGGCGTGTATTCATGAACATTTTTCAATGAAGTATAATGAGGATGTAGAATAATAAAACAATTTGAAGTATTCTTTATTTACCAAAAAATTGACAGTGAAGCTTAAACTTTCCTTCCAGGGTTAAAGAAAAACTTATCTAAAATTAAACATTATTTAGTCAGTCAACATGGGAAAATGAAAACTGACCTATTTTCAGCATTGTTTGGTTGATAGATTTGGGTCAAGTCAGGGAAAAGAGAGAGGAAACTTATTTTGTGTATCTCACCTGCAGATCCACCAGCAGCGACCTGCATACTCGCCTGCTTCAATAAAGAAGTACTTTCATGCATGTTGATATTGTGTGTATTTCTTTTATTCAACTATGAATTTTGAAAGTGCACATATTATCTGAAACATGCCATGAAAATGTTATTTTTGAACTACTTGATTTCTAAGAAATAAGACATGGTTTTACAATCAATTCAGGTCTGATGCAATAAATTAGAAACAATTATGGAACTTGCAATGCTATTCTTTGGATAAAAATCAGCTTTACAAAAATTATGTAATAACAAGTATTTATGATAGTGTAAACAGAACTATAAATAGCAATGGAAATCACTGTCTACATCCCATGACAATGCCAATTATACATGATATATCACAGATGACAATAGCGATACCGGGTTTGAATGGGCAATTAAGTTCCCTCCCAATCCATGAATGCAGGGAGTTGTGGGCGGGGTCCGGTTTTATAAGTCACCAATACCACAACGCAACAATTCAGCCATGGTCATGCTAACCTATATGAATGCAAAGAAGCAGAAACCGGTCTTCAGTAACTACGCACAATTAGGCAAATATGTGTTATCTTCAGCTTATTATACCCGACACAAGGCAACAGCTATTATGTCATAGAAACTGATAGCTGATATTGCAGCTCTTCGCGTGTCAAGGTCAACTAATATACTCTTATTCTCCGGCTCGCACGACTGCCTTCAGCACTGTGTGGGGAGAAGAGGCAAGGGAATAGCTGAAGTTGTGTTTTAAATTAGCACCATTGGCAAATCCTCCATCAAAAAGGACAGGCGGGTGATGACTCGACACTTCTAACGAAAAATCCCAGTCATCGTGAGATTTGCAAGGCCACTCACGTGAAGTGCTTCTCTTCAGACACTGGACAGAGCTAGACACTAGTATATCTCGTAGAACTACCATGGCATCTGTTCGACAGAGGAAGGTAGGTTTCTATTTATTAAAGCAAAGTATATTTAAAAGTGTCGAAAGATGACAAGTGGAAAAAAACTACGAAAGCGTGCTGTGTTAGCCTCGTATCGTTTCGCCAAGTTCCGCCCGTTTCCCCTATAACGATGACCGGCAGGGCGCATTGCTGTGCGAGATTGTAGGTGTGCGGGCCAGTGCGGGAGGTTTTCCGGGTTGCTGCATCGTTCTAAGGAGAGAGGAGTTCTGGACCATCAGTCCACATGTTTTGTGGTCGTGAAATTTGTATAAATATTAATGATTTATCTCCCAGTGAGTTGATTCATTCGTTGTCTTGCAATGTGTGACATGTGTGAAATTAGTGTGGAGTGTTTCACGCGAGAAACTTGTTTGAACTTCACGGAAGTGAACTGTCACTTCCTAAATACTAAACAGGATTGTGCCAAAAGTTGAAATGGCTTGTTAATATTTATTGAAATGACCCATTTCAGAAATGTGAAAGTAATTATGGTTAATAAAAATTCTACTTATCTGCAGCATTTATTATGGAATGATGTAGTGTTCGTTGCCTGGTGCTAGTGCATTTTTGAGGTTATATTTAGAAATGAAAGTTTAGTGCACTCCTACAACCTGGCCTCGCAGTAATGATCATTCGTGGCATGGGAGTGAAGTTTTCAATGCCTACAGAAAAATTTTCGATCTTTTTTCAAGTCTGTACCTGACCTTCTGCATGGCTCGAGTTAGTTTGCAGAGGCCACATCATTGAAGGATATTTCCTTAATTTGACTTGAAAACTATGAGTTCACAGTTTTAATGTCAATACCGTTTTATGATTTACCTGATTGACAATTGAGATGTAGGTATTTCTTTCATAACTGCTTCTCTCGGCATTTATTTGAATCAATTTGAAGTTTTATCAATATTTTAATTGATTCTTGATTTCTAAATAGGAAAAATAGGAAATGTTAAACTCTAGAAACCTTAGTTATCCTAGAAGTCATCATATTTAAAATGATGAAATAATTATATTAAAAGCAATATCAATGCTAGTAGTAAATAATGCCCTTTCTCAATAAAAAAATTAATCAACAAACTATTTTTCCTTAATGTGAAGTCCTTAAAATCAATGAATCTTCAATATTAGTTAGCACACATAGTAGAGATTAATTACTTTGTTTTTTACTGTAAAAAATCGTAATGTGTACTTTTCAGTGTGTTTAAGGAATATTTGAGTTTCACTTTATTTAGAAATCATCACAATCTGAAATTGTATATTATTAATGTCAGTAAAGAACAAAATTCTTGCTTTCTCAATTTTACTAATGGAATAACAGCAACTATGCATTCTTGTACATTGTCGAATAGTAAGGAATTGTGGGAATTGTATGGAGTGCTTTGTTATAGCTGTTATAATAGAATTAAATTTGTAATTATTTTCTCCTTTTCCACTTTTGCTTTAAAATTTATCAATAAGCTATGATGTAGAATCTGCAAATGCTTTAGCCACAATCATGTATTATTTTTGATATTGCTATAAAACCTTTGAATACATTGCTTTATTTTTTCTTTTTTCTTTCCATTCATAAGATTTTGTGGACCTAGAGTTTTCTTGGACAACTGCATGTCACGTTCCTTCCAGATTAAAATTGTTTCCTGTTGCAAATATGACACCTTTAGCATTGGTATCCTGATGATTTCATATAATATTAATTTAATAAAACTGCAAAGAGAGGTGTGAGGAAAAAGTATCTTGCATTACGAATCTCCCAATGGGAAGTGAAAAGGCAAGAGAATGCTTATCAAAATGGTTGACATTCACAGGATTGTTGTACACCTGACAAACTAGAGTAACTGATTACATGTCAAGAAGAAGTCTAGAAATTTTACCACAGCACCTGTAAAAATTAAATTAATTATAAATATGATTGGATCAAAAAATGATTAGAGGTCCTCCTTAAATTATGAAACACAAATTTGGATGATTTTTGATACCACTTCCTCTCTGTAACACTCCTGTAATGTAAGCTTACACCTTTCCTAAATAATTACCTACTTATAGTACATCTCCCGTAAGATGGTAAGCTGAGTGGGCAAGAGTCTGCTAGAATATTCAGATCAGTTTTCATTATTATTATTATTATTATTATTATTATTATTATTATTATTTTGTAATCTACCAGATTTAATTGATATTATATTGGGAAAATATTGTCATTTTTAGATCATAATTTTTTAAATTTATTTATACATATTTTAAATCTTTTAATATTTTATATAATGTTATGTAATGTTTTGTTGCAATATTTGTTGTATAAGATTGAATGAAAATAATTCTGCAATTATTGGGGGGAAAAATACGTAACACTAAATTAACACTCCCTACCTGTGTAATACCTTAATCCACTCTTCTAATTTTTTTGTCTAAGTAATTCAAGGATGACCCCTTATTAAATATTTTGAAATTTTAAATTGTCTTTCGTAGGTGCATAATTTTAACAAACAACCTAATTTGCATTGTCCACGTATACTCATATGTTTGATGTTCATCCCCTTAATAAATGTTATGATTCAGAAAATTAGTCTGGAAATTGAAATTTCAGCACTAGAAAACTTATAAGAATCAGGGAATTTCAAATAGGCAACAGTCTTGCATTCAGTTTAATAAGATTTGATTTCTTAAAGCTAATTCATGGATATACTATTATATGGTCTACTGTCACTCACATCATGCAATAAGCAAGTTTTACAGAAGCAAAACCAGAGTGATCAGAGCTCAACCGTACACACAGACACTGAATTTGTCTTAACGTAGATATGTTTTTTGTCCAAGGAAAAAATTGGATAAATTTGATTTAAATGACTTATTGAATGTTATATGATATGGCTATAATATTTCGCTACCTTATGGTCTGACAGACATAACTACAATTTTTGCTATTCTTTATTTACTAACAGAATGGGAACTTATTTCTATGTCTTAGGACAAACCAACATATCACTAGGTATATTAGTATAGAAGTCAGGGCTTGTGGTTTCTAAAAAATTATATATTGTTTTAGTCAAAGGAATGGAAAGGGTATCGAATGTGTCTAACTCAAAATATTTTGTGTATCTAATTACGTCAGTTTGACCCTCAGGTAGCGATTTATTCAGGGATTAAAGTGTACAACAACAAACACAAGAAGATGAGAATTTTGATAAATATTCCCAAGAGGGAATTTTCGTAAAAGAAAACTGAAGTATAAATGAAATGTCGGTCAGAGAAGTACATGCATAATTTTTACTACAATATTCTAGTGGAATTACATTAAAGAGTTCCAACTTAAGAATAGGTATACATAATAAATGTTAAAACTTTTGCTAATAGTTGCTAATAACTTCTGATGTTGACACAACTTGAATTACATGAAAAGAGAAAACAAACTCTTAGTGTTTTAAATAATAATTCCATTAGCTCTTGTCCATTTTAATTGTTTGTACTGCAATGAATTACTACCCAACCCCACATTATATAAACACATATGAAATTGTAATTTTTATTATTACTGACATTTTCCCTTCCCCTGCATAAGTAATAGTTAGATTTAAAGTCACTTTGTTTTTCAGCTTCTAGAAGAGAATGACGTCTCTAGAAGCGATTCTTCACCGTCCTCCAGATCCCCCAGGCCCCGAGCATCTGGATATTGGAGGAAAAAATTCTTTTTTCTTCTAGGATTTGGCCTTGTTAGCACGTTTTTTATTGGTAAGGAAATTCATTGTCTTTTGATTATAATTACCTCAGACTATTATTTATAAACGAGATGTAAGCTGTCTACTGCCTTTGTAAATGTAGAAACAGTAATAATGTAGTGAAAATTAATATTCAGTTTCATTTCTAATGGAAATATCTTATATATTCCAAAGAAATTTGGCCTCATTACTACTTTTTTCAAAGGTAAGGAAATAAACTGTGTAAAAATAAGGTAGGATATATGTCGATTGGTTAATTAGAAATGAAATCTTAGCTGTTATTTTTGTCAAGATCCTATTTTCATTTTCTTACACATTTCACCACTGCAAAGTTAAGATATCAATTTAGATTTCAAGGACAGGGCTCTACATGGTCCTAGAGTCCCTGCATTAGTCCCATTGAGATCGTTTTGGGAAATAAGGTAAACGTTTCAATGCTTCATTTTGACTCTGCGTGAAGCAGAAATGTCTTCATAGAACAGTGTCATTTGTTATACCACCATCACAATATTTGCACAAGATGAAATAATAACAATAATAATAATAAAAATAATAATAATAATATTTTTTATTTGCCAATAGACTTACT